CCGAGCAGCTTGAGCCGGCACACACGCCCTCCTCCCCCCACCCTCCACCCCGTCACTCACTTGGCCTCGTCAACACTGAAGAACCGTGGGGCGGGGCACAGGCTTGCCGTCCTGCCCACGTGAAAACAGAAGTGTTTTGAGACGTCTCAAAACACTTCAGTTTTCAAGAATCGTGGGGCGGGGCACAGGCTTGCCGTCCTGCCCACGTTGGTGGGTGCATTTTCCCCACCCCATACACATACATACATGCCCTCCACACCACCCCACACCCTCCCACGTGCACTCACTTGGCCTCGTCAACACTGAAGAACCGTGGGGCGGGGCGGGCCTTGCGCTTGACCACAGGCTTGCCGTCCTGCTCACGAGCATGCACCCACGGAGGGGGTGGGACAGTAGAGTGGAGGTTAGAATGGAGAGAGTCACGAGGGGGGCGAAAGGGGATTGAGGGGTAGGCAGAAGGACTAGGGGAGCAGGGGAATGAGACTTGGTTTGTAAGGAGCACTACTTGACTATTGACTCAAGTTCACCTGCTGCTGAGTGTGCCTGAGTGTGCCTGTGTGTGATAGCATCTCTGCAGCAGTGACGTCTGTAGTACAAGCACCCACACTCACAGAACACAGTCACACAGCATGGCACTCTCGTCTGCTGCTGCACCAGGTTTACAGGAAGAGCAACGCACCTGGCGCTGCGCGAGAGCTTGCAGGTCGATACGGGGAATGAGCTTGATGGTGGCTCTCTGCTTCACTGTGTCCACGTCAGTCACCTGCTCATGTGACGTGGCATGGGGTGGCACGGGGTGGATGGGGTGGTATCGCCGTGTTGTGTGGCATGAAAAGGCGTGATAATTCGTGTGGTAGCACTGGGAATGGCATGATGGCAGAATGGGTGATGGTGCTGGCAAGGAGCAGCACATGGCAGCACGTGGCAACACGTGGCAACACGTGACAGCACGTGGCAGCACGGACTCACCTGTGCGAGGTCGCCCTTGTAGGGCCCAATCTTGACGCGCACCCAGCTGTTCTCCTTACCACACTCGCTCCCTCTCCCAATACCTTCCTCCCTCTCATACACACACCCACCCATTCGGAGCACTCATCAGCGCGAGGTCGCCCTTGTAGAGCCCGATCTTGACGCGCACCCAGCTGTTCTCCTCCAGGTCCACCGACTTCTGCTCCACCGTCAGCCCTTCCCTGCCCCAGACTCCCACACACAACCACTCTGAACCGCACACAGCCACTGTGAACCGCACTCACCAGCGCGAGGTCGCCCTTGTAGAGCCCGATTTTGACGCGCACCCAGCTGTTCTCCTCCAGGTCGACCGGCTTCTGCTCCACTGTCAGCCTTTCCCTGCCTGCCCCAGACCCCCAATCGCTGTCTCCCCACCCCCCCTTGCTCCCTTCCTCACACACTTCCACTCTGAACCGCACACAACCACTTTGAACCGCACTCACCAGAGCGAGGTCGCCCTTGTAGAGCCCGATCTTGACGCGCACCCAGCTGTTCTCCTCCAGGTCGACCGACTTCTGCTCCACCGTCAGCACGCCCGCCATCTCCTTTATCGGCACCAGCGCCGGCTTCCACGCCCTCAGCAGCCGCAGCCCCGCACACGCCTGGGGGAAAATCGGGGTGGGGGGGGGGGGGGAAGGGGGGGGGGTTGTTGTGGGGGAGGCTAAGGAGTTAAGAATAGACCAAAAACCAGCGCCGGCTTCCACGCCCTCAGCAGCCGCAGCCCCGCACATGCCTGGGGGGAAGCGAGGGAGGGTGGGGCGGAGAGGCTAAGGATCCAAGCCTACTACAGCAAACTGCTTCTTGTATATGCCTGGCGCCTTTTGAGGTGACTTTTGAGGCGCCTCAAAAGCCGCGCACTACAGCACAGCACACTGCTTCCTGTCCTGTAACAGCACAGCACACTGCTTCCTGTATTTGCCTCGCTAAGGCTCGCAGATCAAAACAACTAGATGCAGGCGCTGGGATTGCTGCTCCTCCTTGTGTGCGCCTCCACGTACACCTTATAAGACGCTCCACATACGTACGTGCATGCATGCGGTAACTCCCAACGCACCTCCTTGACGTACGCCTCCTTGTACGCCTCCACATACACCTTATAAGAAGTTTAACACGTCTACACACTGCCTAGAAAGAGTCAACTTTCGAAACGCAACGCACCTCCTTGACGTACGCCTCCTTGTACGCCTCCACGTACACGCACCCCTTGAGGTTGTCCAGGGCTATCGCGGATTTGATCTGCAGGTTCTGCCCCAGTGCCTCCAGGTTCACGCACTTCTGCATCAGTGACACCACCGCCTCTCGCTCGTGGCCCAGCTGCGAGGGGGGAGAAGAGGGGATGAGTTGATATGGGAAAAGAGAAGGGACTGATTTGATCTGCAGGTTCTGCCCCAGTGCCTCCAGGTTCACGCACTTCTGCATCAGTGACACCACTGCTTCGCGCTCGTGGCCCAGCTGCAAGGGGAGAGAAAGAGGGGGGGGTGGAGGGGGAAGAGAGGATGGGGTGAGATGGGAAAAGGAAGAGACTAATTTGATCAGCAGATTCTGCCCCAGTGCCTTCAGGTTCACGCACTTCTGCATCAGCGACACCACAGCTTCGCGCTCGTGGCCAAGCTGTGGGGGAGAGAGGTGGGGGGAGGGGATGAGGGATGGGGAAACGGAAAGATTATTCAATCTGCAGCGTCTGCCCCAGTGCCTCCAGGTTCACGCACTTCTGCATCAACGCTCGGCACAGCCAGCCAAGCCCAGCCCAGCCCAACTCGGCACCGCACTGCACCGCGGCGTACCTCGCACTTGACCATCCAGAGCTTGGGGTCGCGCACGGACGGCAGCAGCGCCTGCTGCTCGACCTCCGTGGCCTCCCCCTCGCCCAGCTCGGGCACCTCGTTGCGCGCATACCGCTCCTCCAGGAACCGCTGGTAATCCTACTTGTTCACCTCACCCCAGAACCGCACAGCACCGCACAAAACACCCCGGCCCCCAGCACCGCACAGCACCGCACTGCACCGCGGCGTACCTCGCATTTGACCATCCAGAGCTTGGGGTCGCGCACGGACGGCAGCAGCGCCTGCTGCTCGACCTCCGTGGCCTCCCCCTCGCCCAGCTCGGGCACCTCGTTGCGCGCATACCGCTCCTCCAGGAACCGCTGGTAATCCTCCTCGTTCACCTCCTCCTCCTCCTCGTTGCGCCGCAGCAGCGTGCGGTGGTGCGCCGACGGCCGCTCGTTGCCCAGCTCCTCCCCCAGATCCGCGTCCCGGTCGATGAAGCCTGGGAGGGGGGTGACAACAAGGAGGTACAACGGGGGGTTGATAAGGCAACAGATGCGGTGGTGCGCGGAGGAGCGCTCGTTGCCCAGCTCCTCGCCCAAATCCGCGTCCCGGTCGATGAGGCCTGTGTGGGGATCGCAAGGCGGTACAGAAAAAGAAGGGAGGGGCATGGATTGGTGGGGTGGTGCGGCCGGTTCCCAGCTCCGCGCTCAAATCCGCGACCAGGTCGATGAAGCGTGGATGGATGAAGAAGGGATGAGAGGAAAAATTCACGACATCAACTCATGTCTGCTCCGCTTCTCAATCTATCGTGATAAGCAATTGTTCTTTAAAATCGAGTCAAAAGGATGTGAAGGTGAGAACAGTGTTTACGTCGGTCTCATTTGTCGACTTTAAACCTAAGAACGCGAAGCGACGTCGAAGGAAGCATCTACGCGCAACCCTGATTTGTCCATACTCTGCCTGCGAGAAGGAGGCATGGCCGATTTGGCCATCCCTTACGGAACATAATGTCTTGACCCTCCATACGAAGCACGCGACCCACCGTCCTCCCTTTCTTCCTCCTCCTCCTCGTAATCACTCGCCACTGCTGCTGGTTCCTGAATGAACATCTACCGAACCCCACCAACCGTCAAACCCTTCTTCTTCCTCGAAAATCGAAACCCTAATTGATGTTCTACGCGCCTAATAAACCCAACGTACCGTCCTCCTCTTCCTCCTCCTCCTCCTCGTCATCACTCGCCACCGCCGCTTCCTCTTCAATAAACATCGACCGGCCGGTCGTCGAACCCTTCTTTTTCCTCGGCGCTTCGTCCTCCTCGTCCTCGTCCTCATCCTCCTCCGCCGCGTCGTCGATAAACTGCGATCCGCGCCCTCGCTTCTTCCCGCGTTCCTCCTCGTAGTCTTCCTCTTCCTCCTCCTCCTCCTCGTATTCCTCGTCCTCCTCCTCTACCTCGTCGTCGTAATCGTCGCCACGAGCCATTTCGCTTCCCTAAAAAAGCTTCGCGAATAAAAAAAAGGATAAGATTCCGCAGATGAACTGGCCCACGCAATTGACGATAAGGCCTGGGTTTCTTTCAGCGAATTCTAGTCGATTAGAAAACGGTATACCGAGAACGGCGGAAGGGTTGCGCTCGGTAGTTGAAGCTTGCTGGCCAACAAACCAAAGGGAGAACGCTGGAAGGTAAACCGTAAGAACGAACAGGGCTTCTCCCACGAGACAGAAAATGAGAAGCCAACTAAGTGTCGAGGACGACTAGGGTTGATGGGAGACGTGAAGGCTGTGGCGAGGGGATCTACCTGACTGACTCGTCCGACTTGACTCACAGGCGATCTACCTGTGACTGACCGAAAGGAGGTGAGGAAAATGGATGACGAATACAAGGCAGCAACCTTTTTTGTGGTATTCTGGCAGGAACTGGGAGCAATGTGGCTGACGGGTATAAGGAGGGACGCGACTTCAGAAACATTGTTTCACTGTACAGAGCAAGAAATCAAACGTATAAAACATATATACCCAGAGGTATCTGGGCCCAACTAGGATTACTGCTAGGAAGACCAGATCCTACATACTACTAGCACATTGAATACAAAAAAACCAATCACGTTCAAGTATCTGAAATTCTCCACAATCCAGCCGTTTTAAATCTTGCTAGCTTATTATCCTTTCCAGACATCCAATTATTGTGGATCGTCACGACCGCATCACGGCTAGGGAGCACTCCTAGTCTACCCGGAGGCATGGAAGACGACTCGGGAAAATAGAGCCACCCCGGAGGAAAAAGAGTCTGTGGAAGAACTCCAACTAATGGAGCTGGGCTGATATTCAACAACTCATAAATGGCCATTCCCAGATAAAGCTGGTCATTCTCCCGCCCTGTAACTTTTGGTGCCCAGTATATCTTCAATATAAGCAGCTCCAGTATAAGCCTTCCTCCCGGCGTGTTGCGAAAGAGAACAAAGCCACCGCAGAGCTTGGCATGGTCAAGCTGAGCGGGTCGAGGATCCATAAGGTATGTGGAAGTTGCGTAGAAATTGTATGTATCCGGAAACTCCCGCACTCCCACCACATCATACTCTATAGGAGCTGCTCCAGAAGCAGGCAAAGCTTGCAGATCTGAGTCGGAAACAGCATACCGATTTCTCTTGTTGTACAGTCCCAGAGTGTTGGTTAACTGGAGCCGCGAAGCCATAGACCTCCTTAAAACCTCCGAGTGGCTTGGCCTTGCAAAGAGGTAAGGAAAGGGATCCTTGACCCAGATGAAATCCGAGTCGCAAATCAGGACATTAAAGCCCAAGTTGAGGAGCGTGCGGATGTAGGCAACTCTCCGATACATGAGCTTCTTAAAGCCCAGCGTGAGGAAAGAAAAGGCCTCTTTGTTGCTGCCATTGCCACTGCTCCCTGCACTGCCACCCCTGGCACTACCAACCTCCTCCACCAGTCCTGCGGCCTTCAGCTCCTCCTCTCCCGCCTGCTCTATCTCCGGCACGTGCCATCTCACCACCTGATGCCCCAACCGTTGTGGGGCAAAGGGTCGGGCGAAAGGGTTGAGGAAAGGGGTCGGGGAAATTGGGTCGGTGAAAATGGGTTGGGGAAAATTAGTTGGGGTAATTGGGTTGGGAGATTGGGTTGGGAAAAATGGGTTGGATTGGGACTTTTAAGGCGCTTCAAATAATCATCCAGCACTCCTGCTGCCTTCAGCTCCTCTCCCCCTCCCCCCCCCCCCCCCCCCCCCTGCTTGATCTCCTCAAAATATTAATATGAGGGAAAATAAAACAAAACAACGACAAACAAAAAATGTCTGTGACCTTGGTAAACACTCGGTATGCGATGGCGCATGCACAAAGGTATAAGACAGCGGTGCGTCACTCAACTGTCTTGGGGAACCCGAGTGTGTCGCACCTGTCTCGGGAATCTCTCTCTCAGCAGCTCAAATGTCTCCCTGTTCCGCGAACACAAGGAAACTCCGCCCATACCCCAGCTCGCCCGCATACACACAGGCATCACACAGCGGTGCCGCCCCTACCTCTTCTGGGAACCCGTGTGTGTCGCACCTGTCTCGGAAATCTCTCTCTCAGCAGCTCAAATGTCTCCCTGTCTTCCGCAAACACAAGGAAACTCCGCCCATACCCCCGCTCGCCCGCATACACGGCCCAGTTGAGCAGAAAATCCGCGTAGCCTTGGATAGGGCGAGGGTGGGTGGGGGGTGGAGGGGCGGTGGGGGAAGGAGAGTGGGGGATGGAGGCAGGTCAAATGGGAGAGTGTAACGCCGCTCGCCCGTACCCCAGCTCGCCCGCATACACGGCCCAGTTGAGCAGAAAATCCGCGTAGCCTTGGATAGAGCGAGGGGGAGAGGAAGAGCTGTGTGGAGGGGGGAGGGGGGGGTGGGAAAAGAAAACGGAGAGGGAGAAGAGAGGAGAGGATAGGGGAGGACAGGAGTGGAGGGGAGGAGAGGAGAGGAGAGGAGAGGAGAGGAGAGGGGAAGAGGACGCAGAAGCGGGAAACAAGGGAACTGGACGTGGCAGAGCTGAGGGAAGATGCGGGGAAGCTACGTGACATCAAACTAATACAGCAGCAGAATCTCTCACATTTGTTGATACCAAGTGGCTGTAGACTTTACTTGTAACTGGTACAACAAGTACCTTTCCTCAGCGTCTTACCATAGCTGCACACCAGGATCACAACAGTGCCGTTGATTGAAGCTTCTTGTGCTAGCTGCCTAAGTGTACTGGCTGACACATAGCCCTCTGAATCCCACTCTGGCTCGCTCAACACCTGTTTCCGCTGCCCCTTCAACTGCCCGTTTGAGTGTGCTTGAGCTGCTGAACCTGTTTCCCTGGGCTGCCCTCGGAAGGAATCTAAGGAGTTTTCTAGATTTGCAAATCCCCCATTGTTGATATGCACTGCTTCAATGTTACCCACTGCTTCAGCATTCTGCTCGGAACGGGGCTCTTTATAACGAGGTAAGATTGCATCCGTCTCTTCTGGCTTGTATTGACTCCCTAAGGGGAGAAGCTTCCGAGAATCCATGGATTGGAGCCAGTCAGGCACGGAAGCAGCACCAGGCGAAGCTTTAGTCGAAGACTCAATAGGGTAACCAGCCTCGGAAAATTCGCCTGCTCGTTCGCCTTTACTCGCGGAAAGCGAGGAGGAAGCGGTACTACGGGAAGGAATCTCGAAAGCGGAAGGAAATGATAGTGGAGTTTGCAGTGCAGGTGAAGGTACTGAGACTAAGTGGCTGGAGGTAGTGTGCTTCGAGAAAGGCGACGAGATGAGCTGAAAATGGCGATTAAAGATCATCACGAATGTGAAGAGGAGAAGGGCGGGCAAACCGAGTGCCTTCACACATGCGGGTGAGCAAAGCGCCGACGCGCGCAACCGTTGCTGCTGCTGCTGCTGGTGCTGCTGCACGGTGCGCTGCATCTTGCGAAGAGTTATTTACGACCAAGGGGAACTCGTGAACATTGCCTGCCTAGCCATGCTATGGACTAGAGTTCTGAGAGAATAAGGGTAATGATACGCGTTATGAGGCACCGACATCTCAAAGGAATCGGAGATTTATGAATTTGTCGTCCTGGCTAAAAAGTACATGCAGCACATGAGGAATATATGTTATGAGTGCTAAGATAGAAAACAAATTTTAGCGCAAAGAGTGTTGAAGAATAAAAATCTCGGGTTATATGAAGATAACTTCTAATCGAGGGCAAGGATGATCGTTCAAATACTTGGTGAACTGCTCCGTGGTTTGAAACCACGCACTCCCGAACATGGCCTCCCTCTGATTCGATCCCGCCGGATATATGTGGAAAATCCGCAGTGCCTTGATCCTCTTATCCGATGCCAGAACGGCTGGTCTCTTGCCGACCCAAACAGGCTTGTACCCCTTCTTTTTGAAGGTTAGGCGAATGGCTCGGCGGAGGCCTGGTAGGGTGAGTGAGGTGCTTGTAAGGAAGACGGAGGTGTAGCGGTATGTGCCTCTTTCACGCACGTAGAGATGGTAGGTAAGCTGCTTCTTGCCAGACTCTGTGCTCTCACACCTGTTGCATGTGGGTGAAAGATGCAAAGCAGCATGGGGCGGATACAGGTGTCAGACACAGCAAACGAGGACCACGCGCGAGGGAGGTTCGGGAAGAGGCGGGGACAGTGGCCGGGAAGGAGGGAGAGGTGAAGGGAGACAGACTTTTGAGACGTCTCAAAAGGAGGGAGAGGTGAAGGGAGACAGAACAGAGAGGTGAAGGGAGACAGAACAGAGAGGTGAAGGGAGACAGAACAGAGAGGTGAAGGGAGACAGAACAGAGAGGTGAAGGGAGACAGAACAGAGAGGTGAAGGGAGACAGAACAGAGAGGTGAAGGGAGACAGAACAGAGAGGTGAAGGGAGACAGAACAGAGAGGTGAAGGGAGACAGAACAGAGAGGTGAAGGGAGACAGAACAGAGAGGTGAAGGGAGACAGAACAGAGAGGTGAAGGGAGACAGAACAGAGAGGTGAAGGGAGACAGAACAGAGAGGTGAAGGGAGACAGAACAGAGAGGTGAAGGGAGACAGAACAGAGAGGTGAAGGGAGACAGAACAGAGAGGTGAAGGGAGACAGAACAGAGAGGTGAAGGGAGACAGAACAGAGAGGTGAAGGGAGACAGAACAGAGAGGTGAAGGGAGACAGAACAGAGAGGTGAAGGGAGACAGGGAGGGCGATCGATGGGAGGGGAGGGAGGGGATGGAGACGGGAAGCAGCAATTTCTTGCATGCCGAATAGCAGGACGAGAGGGGAGGAGAGGGGAGGAGAGGGGAGGAGAGCGGAGAGAGACTCACCTGCAGGGCCGTGGCTTGTAAGAGGCAGCAATATTTTATGTGCGGATGAGATCGGCCAGCAGCAAACAGAGGCGGCAGGAGGGTTACCGTGCAGAGAGAGTGAAGGGTGATTGGGGAGGCGGGGGAGCGAGAGGTCTCCCTCGCGTCCTGGCCTATCCTACAGAACTCACCTGCAGGGCCGGGGCTTGTGGGAGGCGGCAATCTCTTGTGTACGGATGCGATCGGCCAGAAGCACACAGAGGCGGCAGGGAGATAGGGGAGGAGAGGGGAGGAGAGGGGAGGAGAGGGGAGGAGAGGGGAGGAGAGGGGAGGAGAGGGGAGGAGAGGGGAGGAGAGGGGAGGAGAGGGGAGGAGAGGGGAGAGAGTCTCACCTGCAGGGCCGTGGCTTGCGGGAGGCAGCGATCTCTTGCGTGCGGATGCGGTCAGCCAGAAGCACACAGAGGCGGCAGGAGGAGTGCACAGCCGACAGATCCACGTTGGCAATGAACTGATCCGACGGCCCAGATCGCTTCCACTCGAGCATCTTGTTGTACGCGTCCTCGTCGGCCGCTATGGCCTGCATCTGCCTTGCCACCCTTGGAACATCCTCCTCGCTCTGTGGGGGAAAGGAGGAGTGTGGGAATGGGTAGAGAGGTATGCAGAGTGGTGCAGATCGTTTCACTCGAGCATCTTGTTGTACGCGTCCTCGTCGGCCGCTATGGCCTGCATCTGCCTTGCCACCCTTGGAACATCCTCCTCGCTCTGTGGGGGAAAGGAGGAGTGTGGGAATGGGTAGAGAGGTATGCAGAGTGGTGCAGATCGTTTCACTCGAGCATCTTGTTGTACGCGTCCTCGTCGGCCGCTATGGCCTGCATCTGCCTTGCCACCCTTGGAACATCCTCCTCGCTCTGTGGGGGAAAGGAGGAGTGTGGGAATGGGTAGAGAGGTACGCAGAATGGTGCAGATCGTTTCACTCGAGCATCTTGTTGTACGCGTCCTCGTCGGCTGCTATGGCCTGCATCTGGCGCGCCACCCATCCTCCTCACTCTGTAAGAAGACGAGGGGATGGGGGAATGGGTAGAGAGGTATGCAGAGTGGTCCAGATCGCTTTCACTCGAGCATCTTGTTGTATGCATCTGCCACGCCACACGGAGAACGTCCTCCTCGCTCTGTGCCAAGAAAAAGGGAGTGGAGGTAGAGGTATGGGGGGTGGTGCATAGTGAAGGTTCGTCAGCTGCTATGGCCTGCATCTGCCGCGTCACCCTGGGAACCTCCTCACTCTGTGGGGAAAAGAGGGAGCAGGGAAATGGGTAGAGAGGTGTGCAGAGTGGTGCCCTGAATGTACAGGAACGAGCTGTTGTCCGGCCTGCTGAGTGCCAGCCTGGGCACGGAATCAGCGATGTTGGGCGGGCCCATCACCACGGGCACAGACCTGGCCATGAGGGAGGGACTGCCTCCCTGCCAGCATCTCTCTTCCCAACACAGACAGTCACGCACATGGAAGAATCCTCACCTGAATGTAGAGGAACGAGGTGTTGTCACACGAGCATCATCCTCAACATTACACACAAAGTCTGCAATGTTGGGCGGCACAGAGTCAGCAGTGTTGGGAGGGCCCACCACCACGGGCACGGACAAGGCCACGAGGGACTGCCAGAACCGCTCTTCTTGTCACTGACTATCCACACAAACACATGAACAAACCCTCACCTGGATGTAGAGGTACGAGGTGTTGTCCGGCACAAAGTCTGCAATGTTGGGCGGGCCCACGATCACAGGCACGGACCCGGCCACTAGGGACTGCCAGAACTTCTCAGTGATGTAGTCCGGTTCACAGGAGTTCTCAAAGGCGAGCGAGAACTTGTAACGTTGGATCACTGCGAGCTGGGGGTGGGAATGGGTGGGGAGGGGTGGGGAGGGGTGGCGGGCAGGGATGGGAAGTAGGTTTGGACTGCCAGAACTTCTCAGTGATGTATAGTCCGGTTCACAGGAGTTCTCAAAGGCGAGGGAGAACTTGTAGCGCTGGATCACTGCGAGCTGGTGAGGTTGGGACAGGGGAGGGGGTTGGGGAGGCGGGGGGGAAGAGGGAATTGGGGAGGCGCAGGAAACGAAGGAAAGTTTCAGTATGTCTCAGAATAGGAGTTCTCAAAAGCAGGGAGAATATAAAGCGCTCGCACCTCATCATGCTCACACCTCAACATGCTCACACCTCGTCATGCTCACACCTCGTCCCTTCCATAGGTAACCACATCCTCAGACCATTATCGTTTTACAGCATCAGCACCTTGTCATGCCCAAACAGCCGGTTGCCAAGGCAGCGACCATAGGAGCGCACAGGGAAGAACTGCCTGCAGCTCCTCCCCTCCACTGCCTTATCAATACCGCACCTCATGATGGAGGTGTGACCTCATGATGGAGGTGTGACCTCATGATGCTCGCAACTTATCATCACACCGCATTGGCACACCTCGTTATGCTCGCACCTACCTTATCATGCTCAAACGGCCGGTTGTTGAGACAGCGACCATACGAGTGCACGGGAAAGAACTGCCTGCAGCATTGCACTCGCGCCTCATCATGCTCACACCTCATCATGCTCACACCTCATCAGACCACTATGCTGATACATGCAAAGTACCCCTATCTCGATTGCACCTTGTCATGCTCAAACGATTGCACCTTGTCATGCTCAAACGATTGCACCTTGTCATGCTCAAACGATTGCACCTTGTCATGCTCAAACGGCCGGTTGTTGAGACATCGACCATACGAGTGCACCGGGAAGAACTTCTGCAGCTCCTCCACCGCCTGCGGTTGTATGAGGGACAGAGCGGTGGGAAGCGGTTATATGGGTTATGAGATACAAACAAGAGGAGTGCACAGGAAAGAACTGTTGCAGCTCCTTCACCGCCTGAGGTTGTGTGGGGGAGCAGAGTGGCGGGGGATGAAATGGTGGGGAACAGTTATGTGAGCTACGGGGAGGCTACATTGCTGCAATCACACCTCTCCTTCCACGTTGTGCACTCTTTCTCCCCTTCCTCCACACCCCGTCGACCCACCTGATAGAAGTGAGCTTTTGAGACGTCTAACAGAATTACTTCTATCACGTGGCACCATATTTCTCCCCCTCCTCCACACCCCCTCTCCCCACCTTGAGTCGACACCCCCTCTCCCCACCTTGAGTCGACAACCCCTCTCCCCACCTTGAGTGGACACCCCCTCTCCCTTTCCCACCTTGAGTCGGAAGTTGTTGGCAGCACAATTGCTGATGAACGCAGCAGCAATGGCGTCTGCTGTCTTGGGGACGGGAGGCCGCATGATGTCATACTCCTCCCAGGACCCGTACTGCACTGGCACGTCTGAGTCGTAGTGCACTGTCATCACCACCTGATGGTGTTGTTGTCATTGTTGTGGTTGGGCAAGTGTGCAGAGAAGAGAGACAAGGGAGACAAAAGAGAGGGGGAGGGAGGAAAGCATTGGGGGTCGCATCATGTCATCCTCCTCCCTCCCACAACCCGTACTGCACAGGCACGTGTGAGTCGTAGTGCACTGTCATCACCACCTGTTGTTGCCATGGGGAGGCACGCACAGAGTAGAGACAAGAGAGGGACAAGAGATCGAGGTGAAGCAAAAGAGGAGATAGGGCGGCATGGAGGAGACCCATGATGTCATCCTCCTCCCTCCCACAACCCGTACTGCACTGGCACGTGTGAGTCATAGTGCACTGTCATCACCACCTGTTGTTGCCATGGGGAGGCTTGAAAAGAGAGAGACGAGGGAGAGCAAGACGAGTGGCAAGAGGGGAGAAGGGATGGCACGGAGGGGCCGCATGATATCATACTCCTCCCACGACCCCTACTGCACTGCACTGCACTGCACTGCACTGCACTGCACTGGCACGTCCGAGTGATAGTGCACTGTCATCACCACCTGACGGCAGCACCGCAGCACCATCTTACCCGCCACTGCGTACGTGAGACTGGCCTCAACACCCACTGCCCCCAACACCCACTGCCCCCAACACCCACTGCCCCCAACACCCACTGCCCCCAACACCCACTGCCCCCAACACCCACTGCCCCCAACACCCACTGCCCCCAACACGCAACATGCTCCCTCCCTACCACTCACACTGTGAGACCCCCTGGACACAGCAGGGTCGTTGGCGGGGAAATAGGAGCGCGCCTCCATTGAGCGCAGCACCATCTTGCATCACACTCCCCCACATCTATGCAAAGCACATACATGTCCCACACCTCCCGCACCACATGCAAGCACCTTAACACTCACACTGTAGGACCCCCTGGACACAGCAGGGTCGTTGGCAGGGTAATAGGAGCGCGCCTCCATTGAGCGCAGCACCATCTTGCCCGCCACTGCATACGTCAAACTGGCGTCCACGTCGTCACCCGAACTCACAAACTCACACGGCACATCACAATCCCACCTCTTGACCTGCAAGGAGGAAGAGGTGCACGGTGGGAAGTGGGGAGTGGACGGAAGGGGAGGAAGGGGAGAGTGCGTGAGACTGGCGTCCATGTCGTCACCCAAACTCACAAACTCACACGGCACATCGCAGTCCCACCGCTTCACCTGCGTGCGGAAGGCGGGAGGAGGGAGAGGAGAGAGGGGGGGGGGGACTGTGGTGGGTGGGGGGCGAGGAAAGGGAGAGCAGCGCCGTCTTGCCCGCCACTGCACACGTGAGACTCGCATGCGAGGAACAAAGCCAATGAGAAAAGATCCAACCAAGCACACACGCAGGTTTTTGAGAATTCTCAAAAACACACACGCACCTCCCCAAACTCGCACTCGCACCGGCTGCTTCTCAAACTCCCTCCCCACACCCACTTCGTCTTGCTGCTCCAACCACGCCCGGCATGTCATCCCCTCTGCTGGCCCACTTTCCTTGAGAGAGTACTCACCTTGTCTGAATACTCACACACTCACTCACCGCCGCACAATAAGCTCACACCCACCTCGCTGGAGGCCACTCGCACTGGATGATTCTCAAACTCCCTCCCAACACCCACTTCGTCTTGCTCTTCCAACCACGCCCGGCATGTCATCCCCTTTGCTGGCCCGCGCAAAGGCTCCCACCCTCTTTCTCCCTTTCCCCCTCCCACTCTCTCGCCCTCTCCCTCACTCTCTCCCTCCCCCTCTCCTTCTCCTCCCGCTCCCGCACCACTCGCGCCCTCCACCCCGCCCCCCTCCCCTCTCCCAGAAGCTCCCCCGCGTAGTTGCGCCAATGCGCCATTCACTCGCCCCTGCCCCTCCCCCTGTCCCCCGCTGGTACCATCCACTTCCCCGGACCCATCCCGCGCGCCCGTTTCCTCCTCCTCCGGTTCCGCTTCCGCTCCCCTTCGCCCCCCCGCTTCCGCTTCCGCTTCCGCCGCGCGTTCACTCGCTTCCCGCCGGGACCCCACCTCCTCCTCGTCTTTACTCTCCATCTCACTCTCCTGTCCCAACTCGTCCGCTCCTTGCTCCTCGCTCCCCTCCCTTTCCACTCCCCCCGCTACAGTCACTCCCGCATTGTCAGCTCGCGGCAACTCCACGGGTTGCTTCCCATCCCCGGTAGAAACAGATCCGGTATCGGTGTCTTCGTGAGTCACTGTAATAACATCGGGTTGGGTGTTTATCGTTGCTGTTTGACTTCCCGAACCAGCGAGTTCGGTTGTTATCGGTGTTCCTGAACCTGCATCATTCCCGGAAATTCTGTCACTAATTGCAGCTTCATCATTGCGAGAGTTCTTATTCCCGCCATCCCCGTTATTGCCTCGTTCCTCTTCCAGCATAAGCCGCCGCTGCTGCGAGACCTTAAGCTTCACAATGTACAGCGCTTGCGCCAGGATCACCACGATTAAGAACCGGATTAAGAACACTGTCGCGCGGCTAGTTGTCGGCCGTGACTGACGGCCCGGTCCCGCTCCACTGCCGTCTGGCCGTTTCCTCGACGCGCTCGAGCCGCCACCGCCCCAGGCACTCCATCCAGAGTTGAACGAGCTCATGGCTTAAAATATAGTTCCGAAAGTTCCAAGGAGCAATGACGAGGCATACACGGCGGCTCTGCCAAAAAAGACAGGTGTATTGTCAAAATGCTGACAGTCAAAAGGACGAAGCTTTTGAGTTCTCAAAATGCTGAGAGTCGCTGCTGCACGAAATGCAACAGCACAGATGGCCAAGTGGAGAGATTGGAGTGATAGGATGGGTGATCAATCATATGATAGGACTTATACGTGGATGGAGTCAAGCCCAATCACCGCGATTTCTGTAGCTCATAGTTCAGTTTGAGAAGCGTGTTTCTGTTTTCCTTAGCATTCCTTAGGGCCATTCTTATGTCGACATTTGTGTCTCAAACATGTATGAACTTAATCACATGCATTTTGTGATTATGCCTTCAATAATTTCCAACAAGGTCTGAAACTCTCATTTCCTTCTTTGAGCTTCATTTCTTCATTGGCTTGCGCAATTCTAGGAAGTTACCAATCTGCAGAATTTATTTACATATACTGCACGTGGCGTATAAGGTCATACCTAAACCCGACACCTAGGATGACTTATTTTCCACGCCCACATTTGTGAGTGAATATTTCCTTGAGAGTACAGTAGATTCCTGCTATGAATGGGGGACCTTATAACAGCGAGGCCTTTTTATTGGAAACATCAGGGGGCAAACGTTCCGCTGCTGCGGAACGCTTGAAGCTTTAGAGAGCCGTTGTTCAGCACACGGGCCATGGATCTCCCGTATCTCGGGAGGCACGACTCGCTTTCCTGCGTGGCTGCCCCTGCATGGCTGGCATTCCGATGCTGTGTTGTCGACCAACTTCCTCCACGTGTCAGGCCTCCTCCATTCGGCAATGTGATTCGTGGATGATGAGATTCGGTGGGCACACGGGACGAGCTCTTTCTTCGTCGGGGGGAGGATACTAACCCACCCAACCGAACGCACTCTACACGACCGCACCTCACTCCACTTGATCGCCTTCCCCTTCCACTTGCCATTGCCCCATCCCCCTCCCCACTGAAGAGGATCGAAAGTGAGGGCCAAGGGTAGAAACTCCCTTCAAGCCTCCCTCAACCAACATCCCGTCACTCCCATCAATCCATCCGTCAAGTTCGCGTTCCGAGCTATAACTACCTCGTCATAAACCCACCAACTCGTCTAAAGCTCCACTGCTTAGCTTTAACCATTGCTAACTCTAGTGTAAAAGCTCATTGAGATCGTGTTAGTTCTTCGAAATCATCAACCATATTTCGAACCTCGACTCGCTGATCTATCTGCAGCTTGTCCTCACAATACGGGTCTTCGTTCAAAATGGCTTTGTCATTGTACTTGCCCACTCGCGTAGCTGCCAGTTCTTGCTTCAGCCAACGGCGTCAAGCTTGTTCTCAGCAGACAACAAAACCCGCGGCCCTCTTTCACCCCCTCACAAACCGGCGCTCGCCCAGCAGCTTTAAAATAGCCGTTGGAGCTTCAAAGTCGTCCCGCATTCAATGCAGTCACGTGGTACGTCGGCGATTAGGCAGTCCGTCGCTCGCGCAACGTGTTTTTTCACTCAAGCCGTTCGTCTCGCTGGTCAATGGAAGGCCTTTATTCTCGCAGCGGGTGTCACTCCTCGTCGCTTTGCAACTCGTCATTTCTTCAATACATTTAATCTCCAATTACGTCTTCCCTGCCAACGTCTTTCCTTCAATCTTCTTCTCTTCATCTCCAGCGCGACGTGAACACGGAGGAGTTGGATCACCTGGTGACCGGCGAGCGAGAGACGCCTCTCGTTATTGATTTCTGCGCTGACTGGTGCGGGTCGTGCGACATCCTCTCGGAGCAACTTGAAGAGGCAAGTTATAAAGGAAAATTAAAGCAGAAAAAAAAATGGACACTTGCCTGGTGGCTGACTTGCAAGATACAGGCTGTTTTCGGGTACGACTTCATGTTCTTACAGGATGAGGATTACGTTCTATATAATTCATGCACAAAGTAGCTGGTTACGGGTTGCTTGCTGACCTGTGTCTCCTTCACCTTTTTATCCTTTTTGGAACGCGGGTGCGACGGGTGTGCAGTTAGCGGAGGAGTACGATGGGCGCGTGCGGTTCGTCCAAGTGAACACGGATCAGGAATACGACCTTGCAGATCAGCTGGAGGTACGTCGTCCTTATTGCGAACTAACCGCTGGTTACGGCGACTGTACTGCATCCATCTCATTCCCGTTTCCACCTTATCATTGCTTCCTTGTCACTGCCACTTATGTTCTTCTCTGTTTGTTGCAGATTCGCGGGCTTCCAACCATGGTCTTCATGGGTAAGGACAAGGCCAAGCGAGCGACCCGCATTGAGGGCATGCTTTCAGTGGACACCATCAGGCAACTTATCGATGACGTTGCTGATCTCCATAGCTAAGAGAGTTTGACAGTTTTTTCAGGGGAATAATTTGGGTGAAGTGCTTGTCCAAAGTGTGTATAAATGACTGGCAGGATTCCTTGCCAGGACTAGAAGAAAGAAGGCCGAAAATTCTTGTATAGATGGTGCGGCCATGTATGGTTGTGCCTGGGTTCCTAGCCATTTGCTCTTTTTTCTACTTCGTTCTGTTTTGACTAACAAAGGAGCTTTCGTTCAAAAATGTACGCGTTGGAAGGTCAGTCTGGTGGTACGATTTTTCGGACCCAGCTCTTCATTCCAATCAAGTTGACAGGGCGTGTCCCACACGTTCGAATTTCCTCAAGAACGTACCCAACCGATGTTGATAAAGATTGACCGCTGTACAGCGTACAACATCTCATTGAGCCGCATTCGGACGAACTTGTGAGACACGCCACCAACAAGATCACAACGTGCACAAGGTAGTACGGTACCGCCAATTTTACAACTTTCTCCGCTGCGTTTGGCTTCGCGTGGTGACCAGAGTTTTCTGAGTGATTCTGTTTGAGTGATTCTGCGTGAGTGATTCTGCTTCACACTCCAGCAGCAGCTCGCTTCACGTCTCCCCTTCCACGTCGCTTCTCGTCGATAGGCCCTCCCCCTCAAGGCCGACACTCTCCCAAATTGACGCTCTTCCCGGCGTTGCCCCTTCGCTTTGCCCGGCTCAACCGTACTCACGGCGCCCCGCCCACTCACGCTGACCCCAGCGCTCACGCCACGCTCACGCCGCTCGCACTAGGCAGGTCATGCCAGTCACGCTTAAGGTCGCCGGCTCCTGGTCCGGGCAGGTCGAAATTCCGTCCCTGACCGAATGGACTGTATGCGAGCTGCGGGCGGAGCTTTCGCGCCTGTCCGGGATCGACGCGGGAAGTTTAAAAATTATCTGCGGTGGGCGCACGCTTAAAGACCAGGCGGAGGCGGAAGGGGAGAGGGGGCGAGCGGGGGAAGCGGTGATGGGGGCGGAAGAGAGAGTTGCGGAGGGGGATAAGGGGGATGTTGGGAAGGGGAATAACGAGGGGAATGGAGAAGGGGACAAGGGGGAGGGGAAGGGGACGGGAAATTCGCTGGGAAAGCGGAAGGGCGGGCGAGGGAGAAGCTTAGAGGAGGTGGGGGTGAGGGCAGGTTCACGGCTTCTGGTGACAGGTGGCGGCAGGCGATTGGGCGGCGAGATTGCAGCGGAGGGGAAGCGAGTGGTGGAGGAGGAAGCTGCGAGGAAAGAGAGGGAGGAGAGGCTGTCACGAGTGAGGTGAGCAATGGGATGTGAATGGCTGAAAGTGGTGTGGATGGGGACTCGAGGGATGAACTAGGGGAAGGAGTGGCGCACACATGGCGCATGGGATGGCTGGAAGAGTGGAGTTTAGTTGCCAACGTAGGAGGACGATACACACATAGGCTATAATGGGTGGTTGTCATTGTTTCATAGCGCCTTCCTCTATTCACTAACCACCACCATCACTTTTGAATCGACTCAAAAGTCAACTTGCTTTATTAGCGCCTTCCTTTGTTCACTAACCACCACCATCACTTTTGAATCGACTCAAAAGTCAACTTGCTTCATTAGCGCCTTCTTTTGTTCACTAACCACCACCGTCACTTTTGAGTCGACTTAAAAGTCAACTTGTTTCATTAGCGCCTTCCTCTGTTCACTAACCACCACCGTCACCATCCCCCCGCTTCCCCCTTCCCCCTTTCCCCTGTCCCCTTCCCCTTTCCCCGTCCCATCCCCCTTTTCGCTCCCGTTCCTTCAACTAACGCCAGGGCTGCAGCAGGTGCCATTGCGAGGAGAGGCAGGGCGGGCAGGGGGGGAAGGGGAGGGCGGGAAATGGGAGGGCCTGACGATGGTGGGGATGATGATGATGACGATGATGCTGAATTGCTGTTGGAGAATCAGAGCGGGCAAAAACTAGAAATGGCGCCAATCGATAAACGGTACAACACGGCGGGTCTCCTTTATTTTCTTTCTGGACGGCAGTAAATTTTTGTTTTCGGCTGCCCGTGTGCAGAAGTGCCGGCCTCAACACCCAAAACGACTCTCCTCCTATCCTCTTGGTTGTGTGCGTGCATGCGTGCTTGTTTCCATGTGAGCATGTAAGCACAACGTGTATATGAAACCTGGACATGCTGCATGTCACATGCATCTGTGTCTTCCTGTTCATGGCAGCTCCATTACAATCTTTGAGGCGCCTCAAAAATCGTGTACATGAAACCGGGATGTGCATGTGTAGCTGCCTGCCTGGTCATGGCCTCTCCATTACGTCATTGCATGGTCTCACCCCGCAGCTCCCGGGTGATATGAGTCGATTTTTCTTTCGACCAAAAAATTGCCCCGTCTCACTCATTTCGAGTCGACTACAAAATTGTTTCGTCTCACTCGTTTTGAGGCGACTCAAAAAAACGTCCCGTTTTCTTGGCCACTCCCCCACAGCTCCCTGGTGTCTGGTCTGCTGCTGCATTCTCACGGTCGCACACTCCTCAGCAAAGGAAACTTCGTGGAAGCCCTCCCTGTGCTCGAGATGGCCGAGGTGCAAATCCCCCGTTGTCTTGAAATCGTCACACTGCCACGAGACTGCCTTCTTACCTGTGTGAATTCTTGAAGCGGTTTCTACATGGTGCATTGTGTTTTCAGACGCCTTATCGGATTGCGCTTGCACTAGTTCAGCTTGCCACCTGTGGATGAACATGCAATTTTTTTCATGTCATGTCATGTCATGTCATGTCGTGCGCCACTGTGCCGTTGTTGCAGGAAGCGTTCAGCATCTGCGATGCCAAAATCACAGAGGTAACCAACCAACCAACCAACCTTGTGACCGTCTTCCAGTAATTTCTTTCTCTGGGATGCTGCTCCCAACGCGCTATTCCATGGTTCCGCAGAACTGGGTTTCTTCTTTATAATGTACAGCTCAGCATCAACCCCACAGATCCATCCTCAATGTTACCACTTTCGCTTGCCGTACCATTATGCAAATTTCTTCCTGCTAAAAAATGAATAAATAAGCCAGCACACACATGTTCTTCCAAGGCCTTTTTTTTTCCTTCCTTCAATTCGTCCAGGCTTTAGACAACATTCCAATACTCCTATTGGACGAGATGAGACGATCAAAAAGTCACTTCTTTCCTTCCTTCAATTCGTCCAGGCTATAGACAATATTCCGATGCTTCTATTGGACATCGTATGGTGCCACTACATGATGAAAGACGTCGCCAGTCTGGCGTCTGCTAAAGGACGGCTTGCTGCCGCCCGGTCTGCTCTGCGCAAGGCGCACGGTGCGGACATGTCAAGGCTGAGGATGCTTCAGGGAAACTTTCGACCTGAGCTAGCCACGTGAGTGTTAATACAGTTAGAGCACTGTCATTTCAGTATTGACTTATGAGGCGCATTTTGAGGCGACTTTTGAGGCGACTTTTGAGGCGCCTCAAAAGTCTATACAGGTAAAGCAGTGTCATTTTTGGATTGCCATTCTTTTGGGTTGCCATGTGATAGCCGTTTTACTCTTGCTTCTCACAATATCCCACTTCAATGCTTTTATTTTTTACCTTCTTTCCTTCCTTCACTTGTCGGCCCACCCTCTCTCGCCCTCTCTTCGTCCTTCTCTACTCAATGTTGTGCGTTTCACTTCACGCTCCCATTCTCCCACCTCCGTTGCCCATACTCATTATAGGTATCTCCGCCTTGACCTGTTAGACGCCATTGCAGCATACCACAGTGGAGACCTGATGGGAGCCCGGCCGCTACTAGCATCGGCCCAGTCCCTCTTTCAACAGGTGCTTCAAATCACTTCAGAATCACATCAGAATCACTTCAGAATCACTTCAGAATCACTTCAGAATCACTTCAGAATCACTTAAGAATCAGTTAAGAATCATGAGCTCAGTCCGTGTTCACTTGGTCACCTGCCCACACCACACTTGAAATGAAGAAGCAGCACTCAGCTCAGCCTAATCACTTCAGTCGTTCATCATTTCACTCTCCAGCTCTGTATAGATTATGTAGCCCTTCACACTCTCATATCTCACCTTATCGCATCTCTCCTCATTTCCCCCCTCACAACTCCTCAATCCCCCTCATCCCCCCTCATCCCCCTTCATTCCCCCTCATCCCCCTTCATTCCCCCTCATCCCCCTTCATTCCCCCTCATCCCCCTTCATCCCCCCTCATTCCCCCTTCCCCCCCTCATCACGTCACCTCAGCTGCAGGTTTCAGACGAGTCATTGGCCAGCCTGGCATCGCATGCATGGGCTTCCCAACAACCGACCTATTCACCTTCTTCCTATGGTATTCCGTCATCCCCTTTCATCCTTGTGTCATCTTCCTTCACCCCCCCGCATGCCCTCTCCTTCCCCCTCGTTCCCCACCTCAGCTGCAGGTTTCAGACGATTCATTGGCTAGCCTGGCAGGCATGGGCTTCTTGGCCAATGAGGCGAGGCGTGCACTACGTGTGGCGGGCGGTGACGTGAGCCGGGCGGCGGAGTTTGTCATCTTGCAACGGCAGCGGGAGGCAGAGAAGGCAGAAGAGGACAGAAGGCAGAGGCGGATGGAGAGGTGCGTGTAGGGAGGGGATGGAAGGAGTATCCGCACTTGATGGGGATATCAAGTGCGTTTGAGTGTGGGAAGCAGGTATGGGATGGAATGGAATGGAATATCAAGCGCACTGAGTGTGCGTTTGAGTAGGCACATTTTGAGTCGACTCAAAAGTCAACTCACTGAGTGTGCGTTTGAGTCTGAGTAGGCACACTGTCTTTCGTTGTGCTTCGCTGTCCTTCGAGGAACGAATGCTTTGGGTACTGAGCACGCATGATGCATGTGAATGTTCATGCGTGCGTCTGTTGTGCTGCCAAACCGCTATGGGGTGTGGCATGTGCATGGCATGTTGCAGGGAGCAGCGGGCCTATGGGAGGACGCCACGTGGCAAGAAGGTGGACATGCGGCTGCTGGACGAGCTGGCAGCATACGGGTGAGTGGGCAAGCGGATGACGTCATGCTGACGTCACTCGGATCATTAGAGAGTGCAGGATTTGAGGGATTACCCATATTCCACATCTGCTGATCTGTCCAGTCTAGTTTCTGTCCCATGCCTCAACAAAAACGTTCTCACTTCGCTCGATTCCCCATCCCCTGTTTTATTGCATCCCCCATTGCTCTTCTGTCACTCTATTCCCCTGCTTCTACCCACCATCGCAGCTTCACGCGGCGGGTGGCAGCAGAGGCACTGAGGCAGAGTGAGAACCATCACCAGAGGGCCCTAGAAACCCTCGCTGCCTTTGAGACAAGTTTATTCTCTCTACCCCTTTCTACCCCTCTCCACCCCGCTGTGTGCCTCCCCACCATCGCAGCTTCACGCGGCGGGTAGCAGCAGAGGCACTCAGGCAGAGTGAGAACCACCACCAGAGGGCCCTAGACGCGCTTCTTGACCCCACCTCCCTCGCTGCCCTCGAGGCAAGTCCACCCTCTCTGCCTATCTCTGCCGCTCTCTGCCCATCTCTACCGCTCTCTGCCTGTCTCTACTGCTCTTAACCACCACCAAAGGGCCTTAGACGCCCTTCTTGACCCAAGCTCCCTTACTGCTCTCGGGTCAAATCTCCCACCCTCACTCCTCAACCCTCAGCACTCCTCCACACACCACCACGCTCTCAGGTATCAATGCGATGGCTCCTCAGTTGTGTTGACAGGTGTGACAGGTGTGACAGGTGTGACAGGGGCCTTCATCCATTTAATCTCTCCCCTGCAACTTTTGAGGCGCCTCAATAGTCGATGATTCCTGAGTTGCGTTGACGGTGCCTCCATCCATTTACTCTCTCCCCTGCGCTCGTCAACACTCCCACGTGCGTGCAGGTGGCAGTGGCAGATGGGAAGGCAGATGGCAGCAGGAGGAGGCACAGCAGAGGTGGTGGTAGTGCTGCTGCTGGAGGCATGTCTTCAGATGACTCAGTGGCAGCGCTGGTGGCGCTGGGCTTCTCTGCTCACCAAGGTAGGTATCTCCTGCACCACCGTCAAGGTACCTCCTCAGGAGTGGTTCTGGTGGATCAGCAGGCACTGCTGATGGCACTGGTGCTGCTGCTGGTGGCACTGGTGCTGCTGCTGGTGGCACTGGTGACGTGTGTTCAGATGACTCGGAGACAGCGCTGGTGGCACTAGGCTTCTCTGCTCACCAAGGTACCCTCATCCTCCACCATGCCATGCCATGCCATGCTATGCCGATCCATGTCACACCATACCATGCCGATCCATGCCACACCATACCATGCCGATCCATGCCACACCATACCATGTCATGCTCATCCCCCCCCCCCCCCATCTCCATCCACCTGCCTCCCCCATTCTCTCCCTTCGCCACACACAGACACTCCTCCCTATCTCCAGCTCGACAAGCCCTAGAGAACAACATTAAACGTGGCACTTATCCTCCCCTCCCCACACCTTCCCACCCACACACACCCCTCCCTATCTCCAGCCCGACAAGCCCTAGAGGGCAGCAGTAACGACGTGGAAGCAGCAGCAGCAGCTTTGCTGCAAGGGGAGTATGGGGAGGCTGGCATTGGGGAGGGCGGGGGCAGTGGGGAAGGAGGGTCAGGGGATGGGGGGAACGGGACAGGGGGAGAGGGGACGGAGGGAGGTGGAGGAGAAGGGGGGATGGATGTTGAGGAAGGGGAAGGGAGTGAGGGAGGGAGCGAGGGGAGTGAGGAGGAGGAGGGGGAGAGGGATGAGGAGATGGAAGGAGAAATAAGGAAGGGAGTGAGTGGGGATCCCTATGCTGAGTACGATCTGGATGTTTCACTAGAAGCTGCTGCGATAGAAGAATACTCCAAGCTGATTATTGGTACCAGTGAGAATGTGTGACTACTGTACACTTTTGTTTAATTCTAGGCAAACTTGTGAGTGGTGGTGTGACTTGTTATGGTAAAAGCTGCTATGGTACTACTACAACTGATGACAATTTGCAGTACTCCAGTCAGACAGCATGATTCAATGGTAATGCACATCAAAGAGACTTTGTATAATGCATAATAAGCTCCAGCTTCTTTATGACTTGGGCGCCAGAGGAATTACAGAGTGCTGTACAGGACAGGCAAAGAAGATCTCGTTTCCTTTCCTGAGTCTTCCAACCAAAAACAGTAACTTGACGAGGGTTCTGAGAGCAGCACACCAACAACCCTCACTCGGCTTGACTCCCTTCACTCGGCCCGACTCCCCTCACTCTGCTCCCCCTGCTCACCCCTCCATATCCGCATCCATCACAGCACCTCTCACCCGCCCCACCTTCACCTTCATCTTCCCCTTCAGCTTCCTCTCTACTGCCCTCTCCACCTTGGCCTCTGCTGCCGCTCTCTCTCCTCCCACCTCCTCGCCCTCCTCCATGGCCACTGCAATCGCCTTCTCCTTGGCTGCTTGCTCCGCCACCGATGCAGAGAGCGTTGAGAGAGGCTTGGGGAGAGTGAGGGAAGGGTCTGCTGCGAGGGCTGCTGGGGCCTTCACCAGGTGGATTCCGGTTTCCAGCTCTTGGCGTGCCTGCCGCCGCTCCTCCTTCGTCTTCACCTTCATTCTGTTTGGGGGAGGTAGGGAGAGGACGGGGAACGGAAGCAGGGGAGGGAGGGAGGATGAGACAGAGTGAGGGAGGGAATGGCTGCGAGGGCAGCTGGGGCCTTCACCAGGTGTATTCCGAATTCGAGTTCTTGGCGCGCCTGCCGCCGCTCCTCCTTGGTCTTCACCTTCATTTTGCTCAAAGCAAGGGGGAAAGCTAGAGGCGGGGAAAGAATGCGGGAAGGGAGGGAGGATGAAGTGGAGTGAGTGAGGGGTCGGCTGCAAGTGCTGCTGTGCTGGGCCTTGGCCCCCTCAACCACCCCCTCAACCACCCCCTCAACCAACTCACCGCCTCACTGCCTTTCCTCAGCGCCTTGTCCCCCCCACCGCACTCACCACTTCCGCCCCACCGCACTCACCACTTCCACCCCACCGCACTCACCACTTCCCCCCCACCGCACTCACCACTTGCGCCCCACCGCACTCACCGCTTCTCCCAGAACTTGGCCTGGCGCTTCACGCGCAGCTCGTCAATGCGCTTCATCGCCGCCACCGTCGTTGCCACCACGTTGCGATCGTACCGCTCGGGCCGGTTGCGCCGCCGCTCCATCTCAAAAGTAGTGTCCTGCGTTTCATGGGTGTAAAGGTGCGGACCGTGCGGTTTGGGGAGGTGTGGATGAGTGGGTTTTGGGGGAAACCAGACCAGAGTATCAAGCCTCTTGTCGCCACCACGTTATAAAAGAGATGTTTTGAGACGTCTCAAAACATCAGAGTATCAAGCCTTTCGTCGCCACCACGTTGCGGTCGTACCGCTCGGGGCGGTTGCGCCGCCGCTCCATCTCAAACGTTGTGTCCTGAGGGGAGGAGGAAGGGACGGTGGGTGGGGTTTGGGGGGTTGGGGTTGGGGTTGGGGGCAAGAGCGTCTCTCAATGCCACCATGTTGCGGTCGTACCGCTCGGGGCGGTTGCGCCGCCGCTCCATCTCAAACGTTGTGTCCTGAAAGAGGGATGAGATGGGTGGGGGGAAAGAAGGGGGGGAGAGGGGGGTGTGGTGGTAAAGCAGAGTGAGCGTGAGTTCTGCCTCGCGTCGCCACCACGCTGCGATTGTATCGCTCAGGGCGGTTGCGCAGCCGCTCCATCTCAAACGCCGTGTCCTGCGGGTGAAAGGGAGGGAGGGGGGGAGGAGAGGGGGTGGGGGGTTGTGGTGGTGTGGGGGGTGGGTTGCGTGGGAGAGAGAGAGGGTTGGGGGTTTGTGGGGGCCCTCCACGTTGCGATCGTACCGCTCAGGCGGTTGCGCCGCCGCTCCATCTCTAACGCCGTGTCCTCTTGCAGAGTAGGAAGGATTCGAACCGCAGATGAGGATGGGAAGTAGGGAGGGTGGAAGGGTGGGGTGGGATGCGGGGAGGTGTGGATGGATGGGGTTTGGGGCAAGCAGGGTGGGCATGAGCTCAGACTCTCGTGCGCAAGGGGGAAGGGGCAAGGGGCGGCGGGCAAGGGGCAAGGGGCGGGGAGAAAGGGGCGGGGCGGAAGGGGCGGTGGGCGGGAACTCACGGAGGCGAGGTCTTTGCCGTGCAGGCGGCGGTATGCCTTGGTCCATCGCACTTTGCGCGGGTTGCGCTTCAGCTTGAAATTCCGGTGGCACTTGGACCGGCAGAACCGGAACACCTGCCCGCAAGCCACACGGAAAGGAAAAAAAATAAAGGAAGGTGGGGGTGAGGGGGGGGGGGGGGGGGGGGGGGGGGGGGGGGGGGGGATTTGTTAACCAACCCAAAAACAAAAGCGAGGAGTTAGGTGTAGCGGCGCGAACAGAATCCACATATTCTTGCGCATGAGGCTACCAGGTGTGGTAATTCGACGGATTGAGTCCGCTAGGGCCTCCACCGAACGGTCCGTTACGGATTTCACATCACCTTGGCGTCATTGCGCACGTAGCAGATGCCGTGACCGGGATACACGGTCGACGAGCAGAACCAGCACTTCTCTAATCTCATCGCGCTGCGCCGATGAGCGACTCGATACTAGGTTCTGACAACGCGCCGCTAGCTTGCCGCTGAACGAAGCGCGGGTTCTGAATGTAGCCGAATTTCTCCGCACACTAAAGGTGGAATCCCAGCGAATATGAGGGTGCGGTTGGAATTGCCTACACAAGGCGAAAGCACCTACTACAGCGAGAATCCTTCAGTAATGCCTTGTGCACCTGCTACAGCAGACTGCTTCTAAGCAACGTCTGGAACGAACTAATGAAGGGTGACACGTAGCACGACTCGAGCTATGCGACTGGGACAAGGCGTACCGCAGACTGCACGGCGAAGGCGTCAACGACGACTGGCGACGGCGTGCGACGGTAAACGGAGCGGAGCCCAACACCCTTGATAAGTACGAAATACTGGGGCTTGGGAAATAAGTACGCCTGGGTTTAGGATTTCTTGTTTCTAGGGTTTGGGTATTCGGGAGGGAGGTGGGTTTGGTGGGTAACCATACAAATGCGAGGCGAACTGACGAGTTACGAAATGCACTGTTTATTTCAACCAACAAAACATGTTAGCTAAGCTTATCTCTTGAGCATTTTGTTGATTGCTCAACTAATTTTATGACACTGATATATTCAGGGACATCTTATCACTTGAGCACTGGTGGCATACCACAGTTCACGGTGCACTCGTCTTGGGCTGGCGAACCACATGAATAAGCATTATTATACTGCAAACGCACCTGGTTGCACAGTTATGGTGTCGCCTCCTCCTAACCATGATCCGTCCTTTTACTGTTGCTGGTCCAACTCCATTTGCTGCGTGAAATTAGACCCTTGTATCGGACCTTGCTCGATAGAATACTACCACTGCGGAACACCTGGGTGCTGCACAGCCGAGGAGGAAGATACCGGTCCCACTGGTTGCAATCCATTTGAATGCAGTCCGTTTGAATGCAATCTATTTGAATGCAGTCCGTTTGAATGCAATCTACTTGAATGCAGCCCATTGTACCTCCAAAGCTCAGCTGCTTCTGATACTGATATATCCTCCTGAAACTCAAAAAGGGTGTGGTGGCAGGGAGTATGCACCCACGGGCTCACACCGCACCCTCCACACACACTCCCCCCCTCCCACGTGCTCCCCTCCCATGTGCTTCTCCCAATCCACGTGCTCACCCCTTCACACCCACTCTCATCCCACTCCACCTCTTTCTCCACATGCCAGGCTGTGAAATCCGCAGAATGCAACCATCGCTGCACCGCCACTGCCCCCGCCATTCCCGCTGTCGCCGCCACCGCTGCGGTTGCTGCTGCTGCCACTTCAGCCGCAGTAGCTGCTTCTGGTGCTGCTGCCGCTGCGGCTGGTGCTGCTGGGGGTCTCCATGCCTCTTCCTGTAACCGTCTCCATGCCTCTTCCTGTATCTGCACTTCGGGCAGATGAACCTGCCCGTACAAATCGTGATTGCGGTTGTTGAGGGGAATCACCGCGGACATGCCTCCCGAGTAAGCCCTTGGCTGAAAAATCTCACGTGCATATGCCTGTGCGGCTGCCTGTGGTAGATAAGCCTCTGGCTCTGCCTGCACCTCTGGCTGATAAGCTTCTGGCTGGCAAACCTGCTGGTAAGCCTGCTGGTACAGGTCAGCATCCCCATTGTGCTGCGAACGCTGCTGCATCTGCTGCAGGCCTCCCCAGCCTCGCCCGTGCCTCCCACCTGCTGTATCACGCCACCCGGCGTTCTCCAGCTTGCCGGCAAGCTCCATCTGGCCGGCAAGCTTCGTCTCGCCAGCAAGCTCCGTCTGGCCGGCAAGCTTCATCTGGCCGGCAAGCCTCGTCTGGCCGGCAAGCTCCGTCTGGCTGGCAAGCTCCGTCTGGTCAGCAAGCGCCGGCTGGTCTGAAACAGCTTGGCCACTGAGCCGCCCGCCTGGTGATACTTGGGGGACATGTGTGCCTGCTGCATCACAGCCCCCTGCCCCCCCGCCTGACCCCACGCCTGCACCTGCACCTGCCTCCCCGTCTGTACCACCTGCCCCGTCGCCTGCACCTGCCCCTGCACCTGGCCCCGCGCCAGCGCCTGCGCCTGCGCCTGCACCATGTTTCCCTGCACTGCAAGGTCTCATGCGCCGTTGCTTCACAGGCACTAGGTCTGCGGGTGCTGCAGGTGCTTCAAGCGCTGTTGGCGCCAATGCCACGGCTGCCGCTGCTGCTGCCGCTGCTGCTGCCGTTGCTGCTGCAGTTCTGCCTTGGGACGGGGGTCGTTGCATGGTATCCCCCGGTGCCGTGGAGGAAGCTTCCTCGCAGTTTTTGCTGGTCAGACGAGCAGCACCACTTGCCTTCTCACCCCTCTGTT